CAAGGGCCTGGGGCCAGCATGCCCTCGAGACTCCCACCCCTCCTTCATGGCGACGCCCCCCGCTGCACTGCCACGGCCACGGCCGCCTGCTGGGCACTGCGAACCGTTCGGCTTCGCCGACGACGGAGAGATGCCTCCGACGTGGTGTATACTGCCCCTTCCCAGGGACCGGCGTGGGACTGGCCCCTTCCCAGGGACCGGCTCTTCATCCGGAGTTGACTTTTGACGGCCCTGAGGTTAGGTCGGGCGTGTCCCCCTACAGGCCGATTTTGAACCAACAAACATATCCCAGTGCGACCCTACCTAGGAGTTGGAGGATCTAGGAAAGCAACATCTATATGAAGCTAAGCTAAGCTAAGATGAAGCTAAGCTAAGATGAAATAAGCTAAGCTAAGATGAGATAAGCAACGCTAAGCTAAGGGAACGTCACTGGGGGAACCGCGGAGCGGATGCTGGGGGAACCGCGGAGCGGATGCTGGGGGAACCGCCCGGGGCGAGTTGCACTGCCCGGCCCTGTAAGCATACCGAGTAAGAACCCTTCTAGGCAGAGCCTAGGTAGGGACAAATACAAAAAATATCCCAACAATATTCAAAAATAGTCAGAAAATCGTGCCCAGACTGTTTGTTTACTATTTCGGAATATTCCCCCTGTAGAGGGACAGGCCCGACTTAACCCTGGGGCCAAGCAAGGGTCCCCTGAAGCAGAATACGTGAAAAACGTTCCGTCGCGAGACCTTTTCAAGCTGAGAGGGGGTCTGGGCTCGGGGAACTCGACTCGGGGCTGCCCTAGGCCTCCACTGCACGCAAGAGTGACAATAGGCAAGGGTGACCTGTGGTGCGCGGGCTTCAGGGTGGCGAGGGGGGCAAAGGGGGGGGGGGGGGGAATTCCAAGTATGCAGGCCGCTGCTATCGCATCGAGTTCAGTGACTGGGGGCCCCAATGAGCCCGTACCAAAGCCTCCAGTCGACTCCGTCTCCTCTGTGGCTTCCCGCTCATAGCTCAGGTCTCTGGCGGCCAATCAGGACGATCGGGGCACCCGCAGAACGGTCTCGGCGAGGTGCGACTGCTGGAACGCATCCTAAGACAGGAGAACCTCCAGGAATCGATGGAGATGCCCCCAAACATCCTCTGGCATGATTTGTTGAACCCGTAGCCCTGAACCTCTCGACCCCTTCCCGTGGGGCAATTCTTTATCCTGGACCCATGTTTGATGGCCCCGGGGCCGCTAACGGGCCCTGAAGACCGCAATCGACGACAAAAACAGCAGAATTGAAACACGAGGTCGTCGGAGACCTGGGTCCGAACTGTCCGAACACGTTTGGCCGAAGTGCAAGGCCAGTCAGCATCAAATCGACAGATCGGGTCGCGTCGGCATGAAAATCAGGTGGGCGTCTTCTTATTCGGCGGTTCGACACTGGGTGGAAGGGGGGGGGGAAGGGGGGGTCTGGCTCCGGACCTCTGCTCAGTGCGACTGTTTGCAGCAGTACGTCCTGCCTGCGGGGGAAGGGGCTCCACCTGCTTGAAACAGGCGCCTAAAACAGCCAAGATCTACTCCATGGGACGGGGGGGGAGGGGGTGTGCGAGGGCCCGCGACGATCGGCAAAACTATGAATAAAACAACGATCACCAGATCAGGCCGCATCGGCACGGAGTCGGACTCGATTCAGATCGTCGGGCCGCATCGGATCGACCAGAAGCATCGGAATCGCATCGGATCGGGCCGGCTGGACATCGAATCGGACCTGGGGAAACAACAAGGCAGCGATACCGCTACTCCCTGGACCTCCCCCAGGGTACGTTCTGACTAGAATTTCGAAGCGAACCCCGCGGCGAAGACGAGGGCCTCCCGGGAGGCCCTTAGAGGGGGAAAACGAGGGACGGGTCGCGGTATGCGCACCTCCTGCTCCTCTGAGGATCGATCGGGTCGAGTCCTGCCAAACGATCACTCTCGCGCGCAGCGTCGGACGCTGCGCTGCTCGGCGGCGAGCGAGGGGGGGAAGTGAGAAGGGGCGGGCCTTCTTGTATAAGGCTCGGAAATCCCCGGCCCTTCTGAGCAGCTTTCTGAAGCCTTCCCCGAAGACAGAACAAACACTTCCCCGAAGGCGCTGGGGCTTTTGAGAAGCCCAGCCGCCCTCCCAGACCCCCGACGCCATGACCTTCTCATGACGTCGACCCCCAAAGGTCCCGACCCTCTCCCTGTGACCGGCTCGTCATCCCGAGCCGCTTTCTGACGGTCCCGAGGCCCGGTAGGGGCCCCCAGAGGCCGAACATGTGGAAAACAATGTTCTTAGAACATAAACCCGACGTGAGAAAGAAAGACAGACTCCGCCAGAACTGTTCTGAGAACATTTCCTGGAAACCACAAAAGGTTCTTAGAACATGCTTCCGCACTCAAAGGGGGTCGGCGCTTCTTTCGCCGCCGCGCTGCCGCCCGCGGCCACGGCCGGCCGTGCCCTGGGCCGCCGCCGCTCCGCCGACCGACTCGGGCGGGAGCCGGCGCCTGCGCCCCGCTGCCGGCGTGCGCGAGCACGGGGCCTGGCCGGGGGGGGGGGGAGCGGCGGAAGCTTTGACGAACCAACAGCACACACCCATACCCATAGAGGGGTTGGAGAGGGCTACGGGTGCGTGTTGTCGGATGGGGGTCCCCGCGAGAACGGGAGCGTTTCCCAGAACGGGAGCGTTTCCCAGGGTCCGACAACCCGCACCCATACCCATAGCCAGTCCTCCTCCCAACGACCCCCCTATGGGCCTGGCCGGGGGGGGGGGGGGAGCGGCGGAAGCTTGTCGCTCTGTAACACTGGAGGCCTCCGAGATGGGGTCGGAGCAGAGGGGGTCGGAGGATCGCGCCGGGACGCATCGGCGATGCATCGGCGATGTATCGGCGATGCATCGGCGACGCCCCGGCGATGCTTCGTCGACGTCGGCGCTGCATCGGCGACGTCGGCGTGAAGCAAATCGGGCCCCACATCGAGCCGCATCGCCGATGCATCGGCGATACGGCGCGATCCTCCGACCCCATGTGCTCCGACCCCATCTAGGAGGCTTAGAAACAAGGGATATGTCGACCTCTATCCCTGGCTTCCCAGACCCCCTCGCGCAGTGTGGCAGAATCGTTGCGAGAGGCTCTGCGTCATTTTCGGGCCTCCGGGGGCCCCTGTACCAGGCCTGGGAAGTGTCCAAAAACGACTCGGGATGCAAAGCCGGTCCCGGGGAATGGGTCCAGACCTCTGGGTATCGACGTTATGAAAAAGAATCATGACGTCGGGGGTCTGGGGATGTGTCGACCCCCATCCCAGGCTTCGTGGGGTGTTCGAGAGGACCAACAGCTTGGGGCCCGACCCTGGGAGATACGAGGGGGGGCGTCCAGCCTCGATAGGGGTGCGTTCGAATGGACCCGTTGGGGTGTATCCCAGGGTTTGATGGGCGTGTTTTCCACCACCACCACCATAAGTTGGAGGGGGGGGTCCTCCTCCTCCTCCTCCTCCTCCTCCTCCTCGCCCTCCTCCTCCTCCTTCCCCCCTCCAACTTATGGTGGTGGTGGTGGAAAACAGGCTCATCAAGGGTTCCCTCCTCTTCTGAGCGGCTGCGTGTTTCGTCGAAAAGTCGCGGGTCGGGAGAAAAATGGTCCGCGACTCTGGGCGGCCCCACGGACGCCCGCGCGCATCGGACCTGCGCACAGCCGACAAAGTCAGCCGAGCGGGGGGGGGGAGGTCGCCGGACCGCCAAAGAAGTTGCCAAGAGTTACCTACGCGCCAACGTTCGGGGGTCTGCGGCGATCTGTTGGATCGGCGCTGGACCCCCCTCCCCTGCGCGCGGAGCGCGCCAGGAGGGGCTCCAGCGCCGATGCAAGGAATCGGCACGGACCCCGAATCTGTGTACGCTTTTATGGCATTGCCTGTTCCTCGAGGTTGGGAAACATCTCCTGGGAGGTCTTCGTGAGAGCACTACGGGGCTATTGAGCCAGACTATAGAAGCCATCGAGCCAGACAAGGCCCGATTCAGCCAAGATTGGGCGGTATCAAACCGGATGGAGCGTGATTCTGCGGGGTCAGGCCAGTTTTCGACCACGGATACTCCAGCGCCGATACTGGATTTGACCTCCCTGGCGATGCACCCTACAGTGGACGACACGGGAAGGGGGAGCAACGACGAATGAATGCTGCAGAAGGCCTGGAAGCTCACCGCGCTTGTTGGCTGTCGGGTGCGATGTCTGGGGGCTCGCCGCGACTTCTCGGGCCCAGGAGAGTGGCGAAGACGCTGACCAGCACGGGAGGCAGAGGACGACGAACGCGAGGCCGAAGCTGGTACACGTGCACCGCTCGGGCAGCCGTGGACGTGGACCTCGGGCCCCGGCGGGCAGAAACATCCCAATGGCCACGGCCTCCCGAGGCCTGGTGAGGTCGGTGACTCAGGCGGTGGGGACACGTACACGTCGTTCATTTCTAACCGTGCTCGTTTCGAATTGTGCTCGTTTCTAATTCTTCCTGGCCCCCTGGTGGCCAAGAAGAGGCCCAAGATAGAATAATTAGAAATGAACGGATCTTGGCCCCCAAAAAATCAAAGAACCTTCGAAGAATTCGAAATGAACAATGTGTATTTAAAAAAAACCCAGCCTCGGAACGCAGAAGGGAGAGGGGAACGCGAGAGCGGCAACGAGGACGAGCGAGAGACACCTCCAGAGACTTCGTTGGGCGGCCCCGGGGGTGGTGGCGGCCCCGTTGGGAGGCCGCGGTCGACGCACGCCTGCCGCACCGCGGGCCCCTGGGCCAAGGAGGACGCGGAAACCATGCGAGAGCAGGAAATCGCCCGCCGCCCCCCCCCCCCCGAGCCACTGTCCCCCCCGCCCCCGTGTGCTCCCGGAGGGGGAGGAGGAGCCACGAGCGGCGAGCACATCCGCGTCCGCGCCCTCGCGGTCTGGAGTCCGGGGCGCGGCCCCGCGGAATAATCGGTCGCACGACTACGCTCCGCGCGGGGCATCCGCGCGCAATTGATCCGTGCCCGGTGGGTCGCGGCCCAGGGGCCCGGCCCGCCAGGCCGCGGATACGAATGTGTGCTGCTTCCGCCCACGAGGGGGGAGGGCGACGACCAGGCATGGCCGCTGTGGGGCAGGGGCCTGGGGCACCGCCGAGCTCGCCGAGAGGGGCGAGCGAGGAGCCACGCCTCCCCCCAGCAGGCCGTGTGCTTGCGACCTCCGGCCTCCTCGCCGCCGGTCGCCCAGGAGCCCCGCGCTGTGCAGAGGCTTGGGGGGGGCCTGCACAGGCAACGCGCTCACAGACAGCCCAACAGGGAGTGCCGGCCTTGCAATCGGCCATCATTCTGAGGTCTCTGTGCACCTCCTGGCCCAGCGCTCTTGCCCATGCAGCCACTCGGAATCCCCGTGACCTCCTAAGAACACAGGAACGGCATCCAATCCACTGCCTCGGCCCCAAAGCGTGATAACGTGACAACGGATCACGTAGGGTCCGCGGTACGTAGCAGGTTCCATGCTTTGCCGCGCAGACGAGCTTGTACGTGCCATGCACACCGCATGCCGCATGCATGTGTTCTACCGTTTCTCTCACACCACACATCTGCATGTGTGTAGACACGGTGTCATACGGTCATGCAAACCTCTCCATGGAAGTAGACTTAAGAGCCTATCATGGGTGTCCCTGCGTGCGAATTGTTTGACCGCTTAGCACGATATATAATTAACGCAAACCGCGATGTCGCGGCTCAACAACCCGACGGCTTGTCAACTTGATTTTTCGATTCGCGCTGAACCATAGAGAGTGTGATAACTTCGCCGGTAAACGGTGCGTAACGCTTTGTTACAGAAAGACGTAAAATACACGTTCCGCAAAGGTTGTTTGACTCGTCACAAACAGGTGTGTTCAGCAACGTTGCACTTTAACATGTCAAGCCAGCGCGGCTTCTAAACGATGTGTTCAAATCGCGATTGTTTAACAATTTTCGCACACGTCCTCGTGATCTGGCATGCCTGGTCCAAAAACCGCCGAATGCCTGGCTTACGCCGTCCGTATTCCCGCGAAAAGAGACCAATACCGTTCACTTCCCCCCCTCAACGAGGCCGAAATGGAAGATGTGGTCGGATTCGCAGAACGCCCGCACGTCCACGCGACCCGCGATGGCAATGGCGTCGTCCAGGTTGCGGACGAAGAACCTCCGCCAAACACAGGCCGCTCGCGTCGCGTCCCCTTTTGGCAGGCGGGTCTGACCAGGCTTCGGTGGCAACTGATGGGCGCCTCCCATACAAGCTTGTCGGCTCTTGCGAATCGACGCTCGCCGACGCTAGTCGACGCTAAATCGACGCTAATCGGCGCTATCCGAAGCTAAATCGGCGCTATCTCGTCGACGACTGGGCGCTAACCGATGCTAGTCGGCGCTAGAGACGGAATTTGGTAAGGAGCCGAACTCTATACACCAACGTGTTGTCCGGCCCGGCACTGAAATGCGCACAGGACCGCAGATCCTGGTGTATACGGGATCCTGGTGTATACTTTTTTCGCTGTTGCCGTAGGAAAACGAAGAAGCACGTATGCACTACACCACCCCGACGTCGTCCCCGACCCTCAAAAAGTCCTGGGACTGAGAAAGAGCCTGCCACTGGTAAGGTATATGTTCCAGCTTCCGATTTAGAGGGTCATACCAGGCTCCCAGGTTCTGCTTCTGAACCACGCTGTCTTACCACACTGCCAAGGATGACAGCTACAAAAAACGTCTAAAGGCAGATCCCACTTCCCTGGTCGATCGGGCGGCACGGCCACCGATGCCGCGACCAGCGGTGCTGCTGCGATCGGCCGAGGCGCGCCCTCGCCTTGCCTGATGCCCCTCATCCCTCCTGACTAGTACACACCCTCCTCCTTCTCATCCTCCTCCTCCTCCTCCTCCTCCTTCTCCTCCTTTTTGCGTTGGGCGGACATGAAGTGCTGTGCTTGCTGCGTCCTGTCAGTGCAGAGAGGCCTCGGGATGGATAACACGCCGACTTGGGCCCCCCTCCTCCTCCTCCTCCTCCTCCGCCTCCTCCTCCTCCTCCTCCTCTTCCTCCTCCTCCTCCTCCGCCTCCCTCCTCCTCCTCCCTCCTCCTCCTCCTCCTCCTCCTCCTCCTCCTCCTCCTCCTCCTCCTCCTCCTCCTCCTCCTCCTCCTCCTCCTCCTCCTCCTCCTCCTCCTCCCCCTCCTGGTCACGCCACGCCCAGCGCGGGCGCAGGTCTGGAGCCTGCGGCCGACGGGGCGCTTTTCCTCGGCGAGCCGCGGCGACGGCCCTGGCGACACGCGATTGAGTGGCAATGTTAGGGGGGGGGCTGGCATAGGGGGGGCTGCACCGACCTGGAATCGGCGGTGCGTCGCCGATGGATCGGCGATGGGCCTCCGATCATGAGTCCGCGGCTTCCTGGGCGGGTTGGGGCCCGATGGGGCCCCACATCGGCGATCAGCGGGCGATCGGGGTTCGAGGTATCCCCCCCTTATGCCCAACGATCCCCCCCTGTCGTTGCACCCGAGCTGTGCCCTGCGAGCGGACAGCGTGCCGCTCCGCTCCGCGGCACGGGAGGCCCGGGGAAGCTCGGGACGCCGACGCCCGGGGACGGGGAGGTGCCGTGGAGACCCGTGCCAAGAAACACCCCGCTTGCCTCCGGGGTGCCGTGGGCTTCCTGGGTGTCTCTGGTTCTGCGATGGAAGGCGGGGCGTTCCCACACCCGAGATCCACGGACGTCCTGGGGTCGTCAGGGTTGGGTTTCTTGTGGCCGGTCTCTTGTATAATAATCCAAAAAAAATATGGGGACTATGTTTTGTAATTTTCTTACCTTGTTGGTGCATTTTTTGTGTATTTTCTATTTTTCGCCGAAAATCCCCCTGCAGGGGAAAACGCCCGACATAAAGATAGCGTGTCGCGCCGAAGCGTGGTAGGCGAGAACCCGTCGAGCGACACGCGGTCCAAAAACTCCCCGCCGCTGCCACTCTCGAGCCTGCCCGCACGGCGCCGGTGCAAAGCCGTGTGACGTGACAGGCCCTCCCCCCTCTTCCCTTATGTCGGGCGTGTCCACCTACAGGGAGATCTTCGACGAAAAATAAAGAATACCCCAAACATACCCCAAAAAGAACAAACAATACTCAAGAAATAGTCCCCAGACTATTATTGGACTATTTGTTGAATCATTTGGGGGTATTTTTTCTTTTTCGTCGAAAATCCCCCTGTGGGAGGACAGGCCCGACTTAAATCTTCCCCCCCGCTCACGCCCGCCATCGCCAACATCGCCAAGTGATGACAGAACGGTCTCTCGATGGGAGAGTCTGGGCCCCCCAAGCTCCGACGTTATGATCCTTCTCATGACGTCGACCCGCAGAGGTCTGAACCCACTCCCTGGGACCGGTGCTGTTTCGCCCCCGGCCGTTTGTGAACGGCCCCGAGGCCCGGGGAGGGCCCCCAGATGCCGAGAATGGCGAGAAGCCTCCGGCCGCAACTTTCTTCAGGACCTGCAGCAGGCCTGGACCCTTTGCCCCCCCCACGCCACCATAGGCGGCGAGAGAGGGCCGCAGGGGGCGCCCGCCGAGTTGCCTGACTCGTGGATCGGCGAGGGCAGGGCTCGCATTTCGCCCCGTGCTCGACGAAGTCCGAGCCCTCCCCCCGCCGCCCGCCGAGTTGCCTGACTCGTGGATCGGCGAGGGCAGGGTTGTGATTCCGCCGCCGACAAGCCGTCGTCCTACACTCGGCGATCAACAGTTGTCCATGCGCCTGCTCGCGCCCCAGCCCCACGCGAGGGCCAGGCCAGGGAATGGACGAAGATCCGACCTCCGAGGCCAGATCTTGGCGTCCAGGGCTGGAGGCAGCGTCAGGGTGGCGCCGATCCCAGACCCCCGACGTCTTGATTTTGTCTGATGACCTCGACCCCCGGACCCATTCCACGGACCAGTGTTTCATCCCTTTGGACGCCCGAAATGGGTACGGAAAAAATGGGCACAGGGCCCAACGACAAGTGCTGCCCCAAACCGACAGCGGCCGCTCTTGGGCAGGCGGCCTTCTGTCTCAAGTGGACTCAGGCCGCGGCTGCGCGGACAGCGAGCCCTGTGCAAAATTAACAGGCATTGGGCATCGTAGCCATTATTTTCGTACCGATGTTAGAAAACTGGAGCAAGTACATTACCAGCGGCAGGCTGTTGCTCAATCCCCAGACTTTTTGAGGGTCAGGGAGGACGTCGGGGTGGTGTGGTGTACACTTCTTTTTCCGTTCCCTGGGGAGACACCGAAACATGTATACGCCAGGATCCCGTATACATCAGGATCCGCTTTCCTGTGCAAATTTCAATGCAGGGCTGGCAAAAGCGTCGGTGTATAGAGTTCGTTTCCCTACGTGTCGCTCGTGCCGAATCCCGAGTCGTCTCTTGACGGCCCCGAGGCCCGCGAGAGGCCCCTGGAGGCCGACAGAAAGCGGAGGCCCGCCCGTCGTGGCGGAGTCGGGCCTCGAGGGGGGCCTGGGCTCGTCGAGCTCATAAGCATCGACACTCGCACCTCGCCGCTGAGGGCCGCTGGCCGCCGGTCGGAGGCGCTGCTCCTCGAACACCGCCTGCAGGTCCTTGGGGGGGCGGCAGCGGCCCGGCCGCGCGGGCTCGAGTCGGGCGGGCGGCGGCGGCCGAGGACCCAAGCCCCGGGCCTCCCTTGGCCTCCACAAGCAGCTCCCGCCTCCTGCGCCTTCTCCCCCTCCTCCTCCTCCCCCTCCTCCTCCACATCCGCCGTCTCCTCGCCTTTTTCCTCCTCCTCCTCCTCCTCCCCCTCCACCTCCTCCTCCCCCTCCTCCAGGTGGCTCCCCGCGTGGCCCCCCCTTCGCCCCCCGCAGCCATTGCCCGCCGCGGGGGCGCGGGAGCCCGCCATCGGGAGCCCCCAGCCGCCCCAGGCTTTGCCTGGCGCACCAGCCGCCAGCGCGACTGCTGCCTCACCCGCGGGGCTGGAGGCAACTGGACGGTCACGCTCCCCAGCGTGGCATCGGAGGCTGCGCAGGTATCGTGCCGCTGCGCGCCGTCGCCTTCGCTGCGAGGAGGACTCTCGCCTCCTGCACCTTCATCACGGCTCACGCCCGCCGTGTATGGGCCGCGGCGCTGGACGCAGCCGCGCGCCAGATGCAGGCGCAGCGGCTGGCCGTCGTGGCCGCGGTGCTGGTGATCCTGGGGGCGAGCGGTGGGCTTGCGTCGCCACCAGGCAGTGTGGTTTCGCCCGCAACTTCAGCACCAACGAAAGGTGCTACATGTGCGGGCGGGACAAGCAGGGCAGGCCAGACCCGACTGGAGCGGTTCCTCAAGGTCAGGGTCGACGAGCTCGCAGCACCTCCCTTGGGCGCCGAGGCACAGGCCCAGACGCCGCCGCAGGGGCTCAACCTGCCGAGGGCGACGACGTCGCCAAGGCGCGCAAGGCCCTCGCCGCCTTACGACGCCTGCAGTTGGCTGAAGACAACGAGTTGCTGGTTAGCGCTCGCCGTCAGCTGGCGGAGCCTGAGGCTCGCGAGCATGCGGGCCGCACGCCCGACGACATGCTCAGGCGGGCGCTCGATCGCCACGCGAGCAAGCAGCGCGAGCATGACGCGCTCAGGGCCGAGGTCCAGGAGCTCGAGGGCCAGCTGTCCATCAAGCAGCAGGAGCTGGCCACCGTGGCGGCGGAGCTCACCGCGATCAACGCCGAGGTGGTGGTCGCGCGGACCGCCGTCATGGCAGCAGGGATCGGCGGCGCTGCAGTCGGCAGCATGGAGGACGCGCTCGGGCGACTCCACAATGTTGCGGCAGCAGCACCTCGCGCCGTGGCGGCGGGGAACCAGGGCGCACTCCTCGAGTCGCTCGGGACTCACCTCGCGGAGCTCCAGCGGGCCTTCGACGCCCACCGAGGCACCGCGCCTGCCGCCGCCGCCACTGGCCAGCAGGCCCCTGCACCGCCCACGGTGCCACCAGCGGCGGCCCCCATGGCTATGGCTGCTGACCTGGAGCATCCTTGGGACGCGAGGATCGACCAGGACCTGGTCAGGGCGCCCGGCACTCCCAGTGGGCCACTCACTGGAGCAGGCACCGCGCAGGCCCCTTCGACGCCTGGATGATTGGGATGCGCCTGCGACGGCAGCGAATTGGTTCACGTTTTTGGCTGGTGACACGGATGGCGACTTCGTGCACGGGCACCTAGTGGACAGTTGCTCGCTCGCGGCGGCTTCATCTCGATCGCCGTCTCCCAGCACGACGATCGCTGGCATGGAATGGCCCAGACCGAGAATGGGTCAGCGACCTGAGTTCACAGCTTGGGAACGGTTTGGTGGCTTTCTGGTCTCTATCGATCGGCAGTGGGCTATTGAATCGTGGCTCTACTCGCCTCATGAGGCACGGGCGTCGTGGATGCAGTGGTGCATCGATGTCGTCTCCTTCGAGCTCACCATGGCCCCCTTGCTGGGTGATCTCATTCACAGGAAGCGCACCACGGGTCATGACAACCCTGTTCTCTCCCTTGCCACCGACATTTGCGAGACGGCGTGGCAACGCAACTGCCGTCATCGTGAACAGGTTTGCGGCCGATGGGAGGCCTTGCGGTTCTCACATCCTACTCGTTTGTATTGCGAGGCGCTGCAGGCCATTGTCAAGCTCGGGGCTTACAAGCGCCATCTTTACTTCAGGTCTGACCCTGAGGTCCCAGAGATGGCGATTGACGTCCGACTCCTTTTGGACAGCCTTAGGGCCACGGACCAGCTCCAGACCATGTTGACACATGCATGCCGACCTAAAATTGGCGTTCGGGCTGAGGATTTGCTGCGATGGTATCATGGGCTTCTTGAGCCTATCGATGTGGCCATCCCTACGCAAGAGCCCTACAACACCAGCAGTGATGAAGACGGCCTTGAACCCGAGCCAGGACCAGCCGATGCTGATGAAGGAGGTGATTCCATCAGCTTCATGCAGCACGAAGTTCAGGTCATCCATGGCGATGGTCCGACCAACGTTCTCTACATGCACGGCCTGGATGCCACGCAGGTTGCCGACATGAGTTTCCAGGGCATATCGGGCGGGCTGCGCCTGGCTAATCGCAACGACCCTATCGGGACAAGTCGCAACCCACCCGCCCCTGCCACAATTGCGGTCGCAGAGGGTACACAGTGTCATACCTTGGATATCGATGCAGACACGGCCTCGGACAGGATTGGTGCTGAAGTGGCCCCGAATGGGCCCTCTGCTGGGCGTAGGAAGCGGAAGCGTCGGGTCACCGACACAGGGCCTCAACGGGCCCTCAAACGGTCTCGCTTACCTAGTGCTCCCTCACATGGTGGCTCCTCTCGGCCATTGAGACGCGCCCCGAAAGCCTCCTCAAGAAAGTCTGCGGTACGCTTGATTACTTTCAATTCCAGTGGCTGGCCTCAAGCTAAGGCCCTTTTGGAAGAAGGACCTCGTGGGGCCATTGTGGTTGTGCAGGAACACAAACTACAAGGTGATCGCTTGGCCCGTGCGCAGGAATGGGCACGCAGCTCAGGGTGGCAACCTTTCATGACTGCGGCCCGACCTGGGGAGGACGGTGCAACGCAGGGATGCGGTGGCGTGGCAATCTTTGTACCTGCCCACATCAGTGTGACCTTACCTGGGCACGCTACATCTCACATCGTCATGGAGGCTTACGCCATACTCGTTCACTTCCACGCCGGCCCCAAACATGGTTTCCTCTTGGGGTCCATCTACCTGGAGCAAGGTCGCGGGCGATCGGCGCCCAACCATGATAAGCTCAGGCTGCTCGGCTCCACACTGGCTTATCACAGGCTGCCCTTTACCATTGGAAGTGATTGGAACGTAGGTCCAGATACTCTTGGGAAGACTGGTTACCCTGATAGGTTACGTGCTCGTGTGGTTGTGTCGGCGGAAGGCACCTACCGTGATCCCAAAACTGCGAGACGCACTCTGCTCGACTACTGGCTGGCCAGTGATTGCGTCGCGGCCACCGTGACTACGCCAGTCACATTGGCGGACTTCCCACCCAGGAACCACTACGCGGTTATGACTACTTTACCAGGTGGGGTCCGCTCACACGCCGTCACGGTCATAAGTGGGCCTGTGCCTTTCCCCGCCACCCCCACCGCTAAATGGAAGGATGTGGATGCCCACCATGATCAGGACGGCGGATTTCAATTCGACACACCTCGGGGCTCACCAGAGCGACTATGGTCACAGTTCATGGCTGACGACGCGACTAGTCGCCTTGGGCCGCAGGGTGGGCACCAGGCTCGATTAGATCACCTCTATAGTGCGCTGTGCGCTGGTGCCGAAACGGAGCTTGCCCCATTGTTTCATGACGGCGACAGTGCCGCGACACAGTACTTGGGGCGTCAGCAGGGACCTCGCTACCGCCAGTCCACCTCTGGGGGCGCCCTGGCACGTTTCCAACCTTCGGGCACTCAGGTTTCTCGGGCCTTTCGGCTTCTTCAGCTTCGGGTCCACGATGTGCGCCTCTCGCACATCTCTCGGGGTTCCCTGCAGTGTGCCCACCAAGCCTGGGGTTTCCTGTGCGACTTTCTCCCTGGGACTGGACGGCACGGGCGTATGGAGAAATACCTACCCGCGGGACTGGTCCCTCTGGTTTCGTACCTGATTCAGCAGGTTGTGGAATCCGCCCCTCGCCTACACCATGCGCTGTTTCATTTCGTGGGGGATTATCTTGGGAGCTTGGCTGTCCACGAGGGGCGTCGACTGGGGCAGGCGCGGGCGAAGTCCTTTACAGCTTGGTTGCGACGACAACTGAGCACGCAGCCTGGTGCAGCACACAGGTGGACGAAACCCCGCGGGTGGGACTCATCTCAAGTCAATGGGGCCCTCGGACCTACTAGCTTACCTGACGAGGTTGTCGATTCACAGCGTACCCCATGGGGCCTAATCTGGGGCAGCACCCCTGGGCCCCCTCCGCATCATTCGGGAAGTATACACAATCCTGAATGTTTTGACGACGTCGTAGAGGAAATGCGCCACCTGTGTGAGCACGGGCCCCGACTTCCACCCCTTAGGATTGCGCAGATCCGAGAGGCTGCTATGCAGTTTCCGACCCGTGCCGCTGCGGGTGCTGACCGATTCCGCCCACGACACTGGGGCTTCTTATCGAACGAAGGCCCCCCCTTCCTTGGGCACTTGCTATACCTATGTGAAGTATTTGGATCCTGGCCCCAACATGCGCGTCACGTGCACGTCGTCCTTCTGGCCTAAGCCCCTTGGCGGCTACCGCCCCATCGCCCTTCTGCCCTCGATTTACCGTGTGTGGGCGAAAGCCAGGATGACGTTTGTACGAGAATGGGCCTCTCAGCTATGCCGCCCCTACCTGGCCTTAGGGGCACAGAAGGCCACCACAGACGTGGCTGCTCGACTCCTGGTTCACGCTGAGGCCCACACAAGGGACGATCCGACTCAGGCTCCCCTACGCGCTATCGTCGACATTGCCAAGTGTTTCGGCAAGATACCTTGGCGTAGGCTCCTCGCTTCCGCTGGGGTCCATCAATTTCCAGGTGTGTTAATCACATTGGCTCTCCGCATGTATGGCTCGGCACGGCGTTTGGTGTGGGATGGGGCCTACTCTGCGGTTACTTGGGCGGGTCGTGGGGTTCGGCCTGGGTGTGCTTTGGCTATGTATGCTTTGCAATGCATCATGCTGCAGCCGTTCGATGCCTTGTATAGGCACGCGTGCACCATCTCTCGGTCCATCGACCTTTACGCTGATGACGTTACGATTTCGATCGCTGGTTCGATCGATGCCCTTCTTGACAAGGGACCCAAAATGCTGCGTCTACTACATGGCGTGCTGGAACGCCTTGAGCTTCCAGCGGCTGCGAATAAGATGCAAATCGCGCGCAGCCATCCCAAAACAGGGCGGGCCATCTGTCACATCGTTCGGGCTCTTGGGTTTGTATATCACAGTGCCCTGGAGGTTCTTGGGATTGATGTGGCTGCAGGACGTCCGCTACGGTATCACAAGTTACGATCCCGACTTCGGGCCACAGGTCGGCGGGTACCCCGATTTCGCAGTGCACGGAGGGCAGGGCGAGTGGTCAATCGCTTCGTACGACAGGCTGTCCCCCCAGCCCTCAGTTACGGGGCAGGAGTACATGGCATCCCGCCCTGCCTTGTGCACCGCATACGGCGCCTCTTGCGCAGTGCCTGCCCGACAGTCTTGCCGATCCCCAGGCGATGGCCTGGTGTGCCCCGGTTTATCAGTGGGCACTGTTGCATCGTGACAAGGCTGTGTCGGGTGACGCACTACAGAGGGCTTGGGGTCAGCAAATCCGCATCCTCTACAACCACCCCAAGCCTTGGACTAAAGTCGCAGGCCCTGCCGGGGCCACACTTCTGGCCTTTCGAGATCTCGGATGGACCACGGTCTCAGCTCATGTATGTCGTACCGACCTTGGGGGCATCTTGGACCTCCGCAGAGATGCCCCTTCGACCTTGCTTGCGCTTGCCAAAGAGTCGGCCGCTCGTCGCCCATGGGCCCTGTGGGCCAGCAGGCCCGAAAGCACATCCCAGGAGATGGTCCCGAAAGAACCCACTGGCTACTGGGTCGGGCCCCTCCTGAAGGCCCTGGGTCGAGTTCGCGTGGAGGAGTCGGATTCAGAGGATGACGCTGAACAGGGCCCCCCCCCCCCCGACCATCACGGCAGCCACTACGAGCAGCGTGCTTCCTCGCGCTGGGAACCAGACCAGCGAGAGGCTGGCATGCTTCAGGCGCTCGTCACAGGTGGCGTTTGGCGACCGCAAAGGCTTGCACAGCTGGGTTACACGGATTGCTCAGAGTGTGCGATGTGCGGTGCCGAGAAATGTGGGGTGCATCATGTGGTTTGGAAATGCTCGTCCGATGTACTATCACAAGAGCGTGAACAGGTGATGTCTCGCTTGGATACTCGTGGCTTTCCACCGTGTGTCGAGGGCTCTTGGTTTTGGGATCGTGGACTTATTGGGCGTTCTTGTTTCCCCGTACTACCACCTCGGGACGACTCGGGGGCCTGGCGCATCCTGTCTGGAAACCCATGAGGCGTCTCGGGCAGGGTCTACACGGACGGAGCCTGTCGTCGAATCTGGTACGGGCCCGAGTCGGCCCGAGCAGGGTGGGGCTTCGCCACCTTAACTGATCGCGACCGTGGCGGAGTTCAATGCGTTGTTTACGGAGCTTTGCCAGGTCCTGTGCAGACCTCCCCTCGGGCTGAGATGTTCGCTGCCCTTCAAGTCCTGATGGCCTGCCTGCCTCCTGTCGTTAAAGGTTTGCCCGATGGGCTTGTCAGGGGTCCAGCTTGGCGTTGAGCTCCTCGCCGAAACAACCTGGACCTCTGGGAGGCCATTTGGGGAAAAATTCACGACCTCGGCGGTCTCCAGAGTGGTGTCTTCTTCGAGCTTTGTAAAGGGCATCCGCGGGGCGGCAGCGAAGTGGCGCGGGGTAATCGGTGGGCCGACCTGGCTGCCACCAGAGGGCGCGATCTACATTGTGCTTCGCAACAGGCCCGTAAGGCCATCGCTGTCGCCTTCAAGAATTATAACCTTTATCCCCGATGGATGGTGCGTGCCCTCACCATCTATGGTGGCACAAGGCGCTGTCCCACCAAGCCTCGGGTTAAACGTACCCGCCGCGCTCCCCCTCCTGAAGAGGACACGGGTGACACCCCGTCTCATCTCCGACACGTGTTTGTCAAAGTCCCAGGGAGGAGGATTTTCCGCTGCGGGTACTGCAAGCTCGGCGCTAAGACTGCCGTGAGAGTCGGTCGCCTCGAGGTCCTCTCTTGCCCTGCTCGCCTTCGGGCGTCGGCGGCTACGCTCGGACTCGAGGCATCAGAGCTCCCAGAAGTCCCCAGGCCTGGCCCCCTTGGGCCTGCGTTGGCCGTCGGCTCCTCCATGGGCTCTGACGCGTCCCCTTCGGCCTCGGCGTCTCTTCGAGACGCCGAAGCTGGCCGACACGTGCAGCTTCCTAGTAAGGTGGCCGTGGCTGGCGACGACACCGCCATGGGGACGGAGGCTCCTATTCCTGAGAGGAGCACTGGTAGCGCCCATGCTGCTGCCTTCTCGCCTCCTCACGTCTTCGTCGACGTTTCGGACCTTCGTCGGTCGTCCTGTCGTCCTCGCTCGTCTAGTTCCGAAGGCGAGGGCAGTCGCAGCGTCAGGCCGAGAGTCACTTTTGATCCCATCGTCCTGGCTCGGTCTCCTTGCCAGGAGCAGCAGGATCGAGCCATTGCGGACGTCGATGCCGACCTCCCCAAAGTTAAGCGTAGGCGTCAAGCTCGCAACAACCCCCGCCCCAGATTGAGCGACACCACCGTGCCGATTACCCCGTTGCCAGCTGCTGGCATTGTGCCGCCCGGGGCGGCTAGAGGGCATCGGTGCTGGGTCGCCACAGGGGAGGTTGGTTTGTGTATTCGTTGCGGTTTTTACACCACAGGGGTCGCAAGTCACCTCCTTGTGGATTGTCGCCCTCCCGACTTCAACCAGATGTCGGAGAGGGCGACTCGTAATCGCAAACTGTTCTTGGAGTGTCGGCACCCTGCCGACGAAGGCAGGCCTAACGGCCGCACCCTTCGAACCCCTCGGCCTCTTTTGGCCAACGACCCCGAAACGCTCTGGTTGCGCTTGGGCCCCTCTGGGGCCTAGCGCCCGTTTTGGGTTTACATACCTTGGCGCTTGCGCCTGGCTCTCCTGAGCCGTCCGTGCTGGCGGCCCGCCCCGTGATCCTCGGTGGGGGCGAGTCGCACCGTGCTAGCACACTGGATGGGCGATTGCCTGTCCCCTTTCTCTGTGCACGCTAGGCGCGATCACTGCGCGGCGTCCGCCAGGGCAGTGCGTTATCCTCCCCCTCCTCCTCCTCCTCCTCCTCCTCCTCCTCCTCCTCCTCCTCCTCCTCCTCCTCCTCCTCCTCCTCCTCCTCCTCCCCCCCCCTCATCGTCGTCCTCCTCCTCCTCCTCCTCCTCCACCTCCTTCTCCCCCTCCTCCGCCTCGTCCTCCTCCTCCTCCTCCACCTCCTACTCCTCCCTCCCCCTCCCTCCCCCGCCCCCTCCTCCTCGCCCTCCTCCCCTCCTCCTCCCCCTCCACCTCCTCCTCTTCCTCCTCGCCTTCCTCCTTGTCTTCCCTCTCTTGGGCACAGCCCCGCGGCGGAGCGAGTCCGTCCACCGCTGCCAGAGCAGAGGCAGGCGGTGCACTCCCCTTTGATCGGGACAGCTTGCGCCACTGCGTGCCCGGAGACGGCGCCACGGGCGTCGACCGATTCAGCACCAGTGTGGAGCTGAACCCTGAAACTAAAGCATCGCATCCAGACGACCTCGAGGTGGCTGACGCACGCACCCGCGGAGGCCAGAACGAACGGAGCCAGGACCCAGACCAGTCCCGGGCAGCTAGGGGGGGCCCGAAGGGCAGCACCAGAGAGAGAGCTCTGGCGCCGCAGCACAACAAACACGAGAGAAAAGGAAGAGGCACAACCAGTGTCGTACAATCCTCGCAACATGCCTGACTTGTGGGTGTCATGACAATGGACACCCTCACCGTTCTAGCATTGACTAAACAATGTCTGTTGAAATGTCGTCTACATGTTTTTTGCATGCCCGCAATGCGTGTCAAACATGTTCTAGCACCTTGGAAACATAATTCAAATATGGCTTAAACATATGGAATGTATTTGGCAACGCGCCTCCTCTTCATTGATCGTCTTCCACAAGGTTAGGCCGTGGCCTGCACGGCCAGTCGATACAATCCGCTGGCTGGGCAATACTGCACGAGGATAGACACCAACGCGCAGCAAGAGACCGCGCGTCAGGAGGGGCACGCGGGAGGAACGAACAAGATACGCGGAGGCAAGGCCTCGAAGTCGTGCCAGAGAGTGAGCAGCAACCTGAAAGAAGAAACCATGAATGCTCGGCTGGGCTGGTCCAAGCTGTCGGAATGCGACCCGTCCCGCCGAGACACCGCCCCCACGCCCTCCTCACTGAGACTGCGCCTGACAAGTTCAAGCTGAGCCCTAGTACTGGTCTTGTGGGCACTGGACGCTCGACAAGCGGGTAGAGCCTGCACCTGAGACGGCACAGCGCTGGAGGATGAGCTGCCTGCAGACTGGCTGAACGGGCGAAGCCCAACGAACAACTGCGCGCAACCTTGATACTTAAAAGCACCCTCCACAAGTTTGACGTCGGTCTTGACTCTATCTCGCAGTCTTGCACCCGCGAGCCAGGTGCATCACGCGCGAAAAGGTGCTGGCCACAACATTTGCACACACGAAGAACTGAATGTCACCGATCATAAAGGTCGCCACCGCATGCTGCTTATATTTAGAGGCTTTAGGACTCTCCTGAGCACCAAGGATCCTTTGCGCAAGGGTGGGAGGAGGGAGTTTTACAAACCTGAGCGAATTATCTGGACGATGCGACCGCTGACGGTGCACAGAAGCCGAAGAGGCGATCGATTCGCCAGCGCGGGCAATCCACCGAGCAGTGTTTGGAACCATTTTATGCTGCATGGGCAACAACATCAAAAACACATGGACGCAGCGCGTTAGCACGGTTCCTGGCAGCGGCGTCGGCGGCATCATTGTCAAGATTGTACCTTAGCGGGGGCATCCCATCATCCACCATCCTCTGCCAGTCATCAACCTTATGCCAGACTCGACGCCACAGACACGCCCAAGCAGAAATGCGCTACTGGCCCACGAGAGTTGAAACCTTTCCACGGGGAGTCCGAGCCCGCGTGAAGACCAACAGGCGGAACAGCGTGCATAAGAGCAATTGGCAGTGCATAAACGTTCACCTCATCAACGTCCTGCAATGGAGATGGGATCAGACCCGTGACGGCTGCGAGGACCGGACCTGGCCCTTATAACCAACAAAGGTCAAAGCCCAAACCACCTTGCCACAATCAACAAGAGTCCAACAACAGCGAGCCATCAGTGAAGAATATGCCCTGCGGGATCCAGTGGGCTCCCGAATGATTTCAAACGCGAGTCATCTGGATACCCTAGTGACAACTTCGGCTGCCTGGGCAGAGGCAACAGGGCGCGCGCAAGATGCACGCGCGCCAGCTCGTTGGAACCGCCTGGTCCCACAGAAGCAGCAATATGGACTGGGAGAAACTCACCAACGGCCTGCAACATGGCGGTGCACGAATGGACGAGACTCCATGTTATACGCTAGGCAGTTGGAGACTAGATCCAACCTTGACGGCGTTGTCGCTCTTGCGGGCAGTGAGTGTACATTCAATTGATGCGAAGGCAACCCCGTTGCTGCCAAGCGAAGCCGTTTTTGGGGACCAAGGAGGTACTTCACGGTCGCGATCCAGCACCCACCTCGAAACTCAGGAGAGCTCAAGGGCTCAGAAACCTGCTGGTCAAACCAATCCCTGACAACATGGCCACAAAGCGCCAACGGCACACGATAGCAGATGCCTTCAAATCAATCATGACATCAGGAAGCCTCCAACCTAATGCTTGCTCAACAACGATGCCAACTCTGTCCAAGATGGCGTGCACGACACCGAAAGGGGGCCCGTGACTGCGGCCACGTGGTGGCCTTCCCAAGCAGGTAAGCGGCAACCTGCTGAAGACCACGGGCGACAACATGCCTCGGTATGCTGCCGCGCCAATGGACATGGGCAACAGCATTGATGGGCTCAAGCGTAGCCCTCCGAGGAAGGTCACCCTGATGCCGCGGAGCCAGAAGGAGCGCGCGGGCGCGCCCCCTGCCGCTGGTCTTGGCGTCGGGCCCGGGGGGGGGGGGGCTGCCGCCTGAGAACGCAACGAAGTAAGCACCTTCATAGTGGCTCCTTGGACAGCGGTCCCAAACGCAGCAGCAGTTTCCAAGGGAGCCCTGGACATCAACGCCATGGTGTTTCTCCGAGCACTGTCCCCCTTGGAGGCGTTTTCGGCGCTGGAGCTTGCGCTTGACAACCTCCCTGCGCTCTTCACGAACCGCTCTGACAAGCGAGAGCCTGGAAACCAACTCATCCCTGAGGGGCGCCTCGCTAGCCAGCGCGCGGCCCTTGTCGGGGGCAGTGCTCGGATATACAGTGCCGAGCTCACGAACCGAAGCTGCATCAGTACCAGCAATGTCAGGAATCGCATGGCCTCGCTCTCCAGAGCGCTGCAGCCCCAACTCGTCGACCACAAGAGAAAGATAGATAGAGAGAGGGAAAGACAGAGACAGAAAAAAAGGAACGCGCAACCCACGTTGGACGGCGTCAAAGGAAACCAGCAACATAAGCTGCAAAAACACCGTAGTTTCGGCCGACCTCTAATTGTTGACTGTCCTTTGGTCCTTTGGAGGTCCATAAGCCTGAGAGATCTATACACGCCAGCAAGAAGCTTCAAATGCCACAGCGGAGAGTGGGTGAGCCGATCAGCCTCCAGGAGGTGGCGTGATCGGCTCCCCACCAAAACGAACGATACTTCTACTTCTGCCATTCCAGCATGATGGGCCTTCTCAGCCTGCTCTGCAATCGGCAAAGGCAATGGAGTAAGCCCGAAGGACGAATACCTCCGAGCCCATAGAAAGCATTCTTGTTGATGACGCGCGGCCACTCGGCCTGCGCATCGATCGCACTGGTCAACGCGCAGAGAACCTCGAGCGTCACGTCTGGCAACATGAGTAAGGTCCCAGGCGGAACCTGGCCGCATCCACAACCTGTGCCTACCCGAAGCGTAAGCAGCACCGTCTTGATTTTAGAAGGGCTGGGGGCGGGAGGGCGGGGCCCGAGATCAGTGGGCCAAGGTGGGCCGTGCAGCTGCATCCCGACTTGCCACCACCTCGACCACTGCTCCTCAAGGTCCATCATCTCCCAGATGCTGGTATTGGGACGGAGGGTGAAGGAATCACGAGCGGAAGGCTGCCAGGGGTCGGGCAACTGAACATGCTTACAATGGGCGGCGGCACTTCCGATGGTGCGTGGTTTGACCCATCGGTCCCAATTGACGATCTTCAACTGGGCTGTCTGCTTGTGGAGCCTGTCTGCGTGCCCGCTGGCGAAGCTGGCGAGCAGGTTGGAAGCGGCATAGTCCAAGTGAATGATCCTATGAAGAGACCTGCGTAAGAGAGCCACCGCGAGGTCAGAGTTCGTGACGTCCTGATAACCCTGGAACTTGCGGTTCTTTTTACGCACCTGGGTAATCTGGCGAGCCGACATAGGTTTAGAGCGGGACCGGGCAAAGCCTGGGAACGGGGACAGGTGCAGGCTTCGCGGGCTTGTGCATCCCCACCTGGGCGCCACGGGCACGTCCCAAGTAGGGTCGGGCCAACTCATCAGGGATCATGTGTTCCAAGAGCCAACCTCTAACCACTCCAGCTCACCTGCCGAAGCGAGAATATCCTGAGCCTTCTCGAAGGCCCTTGGGAAAACCCAGAGCAGACTCCATGGAGGCCGAAGTGATTTCCAAGCGGGCAAGGTTGGGTTGATTACAACACACCACGGGCAGCTCTCCGCAGCCATACCGTACGCTGTAGAGGAAGAGCAACATGCGTAGGCGAGACAAGCTGCACTGGCTTGTGTGGGGTGGTAGCCACGTCATAGAGAAGACTGACTGCTGCACCTCCAGCGGCAGCGAGTTGCTCACCACAAAGAGATCGAGCATCCTGTTCGCTGGCGTGCAGATGCCAGCCTCAAGGTGGAAAACACGTCCGTCGAGGGCATCAACGCAGCTAGAGTGTTTCAGAACATCAGGCTCCATATTGAAACCGCCCATCACAGCGAAGGGTAGATTAGCAGACTTCAGGGCCGCCCCAAAACGACACGAAAAGTCCAAACTGACTCGGGCAAGTCCGGCCGACTTATGCAGGTAAACCGTGCACACCAGCAGAAAGCCTCCTCCTCCTCCTCCTCCCTCCCATTCCTCCTCCTCCTCCTCCTCCTCCTCCTCCTCCTCCTCCTCCTCCTCCTCCAGTCCTCCTCCGACAAGTGATTCATCGCGAATCGCTTCTCACCGGCCCTGGGGCCCGTTGAGGGCCCCCCGAAGCCAAAACTAGCCAAACATCCGGCGCTCCATGTTTTTCCACGCGCGGACGCCTGGAGGTCTGGACAACCTCCCGGTGACTCATCCTGAATCGTTTCTTAACGGTCCCGGGGCCCGTTGAGGGCCCCCCGGGGCCAACACCAGCCCAAAACCAGCCGCTCTCCATCTTGCTGGAGCCTCGGATCTTGGCAACAGCGCCCGAGTTCCTCCGGAGCGCCCCGCTGCCGGCGACTCCGCAGGGCGTGGCTCGCGCGAGGCGCGGCTTGCAGCCCGCACCCCGGGAGGCGGGCGAGGCCCCGAGGAGGCCCGACGAGGGCCGCGCAGGCTGCCCCGGCCGGCCTCGACGGGCGCCCCCGCGCAGTCGCGGGCGGCCTCGGCCGCGCCCCCGGGGCCGGTGCCGGGAGCGCCCATATGGGGAAGCTCCCGGGCGTGGCCGTGCGGGCCAGCCCGGGCAGCCAGGGCGGGCCGTCTGCGCGAGAGCCGAAGCCGCACCAGCCCACTGGAAGCCCCCCCCCCCTCCTCCCCCCCCCAGATCGCGCGCAGTCGGCCAGTATACTCGATAGAAGGAGGCGCGAGACGAGGATGCAAGGGCCTCGGACGCCCATTCCGAAGCTGTTCGGGCGGGGCGCGGCCAGCGCAAGTGGCCAAGGATGGACCGAGGAGGCAAGGATGCAGGGGTATATACCCTCGGGAAGGCCGCCCATCCTTACCATACGGGTTGACTGTACCAACCTCGCAGCCCCGACCAACCCCCAGATCGCGCAGGGGACCCCAGGGGATGCTGCAAACCCTGGTGGCCATCCTCCCCCCTAACACCTCCATTATCCCTCTCTCTGGTCCGCCTCCGCCCCCTTTCCCAGGCCCCGACGCCATGATTGTCTCACGACGTCGACCCCCAAAGGTCTCGACCCATTCCCTATGACCCGATTCTCATCCTGAGCCCTTTGATTGACGGGCCCGAGGCCCCGTAAGGGTCTCAACGGGCCAAAATGAATACAAAACTTCCCGCCGTGGTTTGCTCATGCCTCGAGGGGGTCTGGGTTTCGAGGGTCGTGGTTTGCTCATGCCTCGAGCAGCGCCAGCCGACGGGCGCGAAGCCTCGGGCCACTATCGTAAGGGGCAGCGATAGGGGGTGACTGGCATAGGGAGGGGAACATTGACCCGGAATCGGCGATACACAGCCGATAGATCGGCGATAGACTCCCGTTAGCAAATCCGCACCTTCCTGGGCGGGGCAGGGCTACCATGCCCCTATCGGCGATGAATCGGCGATTGGGGGTCGATGCATCGCCCCCTCATGCCCATCCCCCCCCATCGTTGCCCCTGACATCGGCAGGGCATGGACCAGGCTCTAGCGGGCCAGGGGCCGTGCGGGCGGTCGGGCGGCGGCGAGGAGTCAGCCCGAGGGAAGAGGGCCCCCTCTTTCCCCATTCCTCCTCCTCCCCCGCCTCGCCCATTCCTCCCCCCCCTCCATGCGCCTCCCTCCCCCTCAGATCTCCGAGGATATGATTGTTTCGATGCAGCGGTTTTTCTGAAGGGGCCCTGGGACACACAAATAAATGCACACAAATAACAGGATTCCCCATATTTTCCAATCTGCTCTTGGTTATTGTCTTCCCCGCCACTCCCCATATTTTCCAATACTTTCCTGGGGATCGCCGATGAATTGTGTCTGTGTATTTTTGTCCCCCTTGAGTTTCATCGATTTCGATTTCGGCCTCGGGTGCCCTTTGATGAGGCCCGGGGGCCATCGAAAACAGATCCGCGGAACGGAAACCCGCCACGAGGGAAGTGGTCGGGGCCTCTGGGGCCGCGGACTGGAACAAAAATCAGACCGGCGGCTGTCTGGGCCCCTGCGCATCCCCCCCCCCCCCCCCGACGGGGGGGGCCTTCTTGGGTCGTTTTGGGGTCCTCTTGGAGGCCTCCTGTGCTATCCTGGGGCCTTCTTGGGCCGTCCTGGAGTGTCGGGAAGCCGACATGGCGAGAAGTCCCAGATCTACTGCATCAAAAACCAAGGAAAATCACTGACTTCTGAATCTTGGAAATGCTCCTGGAGGCCTCTTAGGGGCGTCTTGGAAGCCTCTTCTGGGCCGTCTGGGGGCGAACCGCGAGGGTCGGCGGTGGACAAGCCTCCCTTTGGTAGACCCCCCCTTAGTGAAAACGGCCTGGGATCGAAACCGACGGACCTGGACACGCAAAAGTGACGGCCGCGACACCTTCTCGCGAACCGAACGCGGCGTGCGGCGCCGCCTTCTCCACGGCCCGTGCGGCCCGGAAGGCGCCACCGCTCTTCTCGACCGAAGAGAAGGGAAACGAAGCCAGGAAGAAGAGAATCGAGAATCTCTGAGGGCTATGGATGGACAAGCGCGCTCCACGACTCGCAAAGTAAGTACTCGCAGATGGCGTGGATCCGCCGCGGGGATTCACGATCCATGACACAGAGGGAGAGATTTGTTTCAGACGATTGCGAGTGGGCACTTTGCGAGTAGCGGAACGCGCTCGGCGAATGGGGGATGTCTCGCGGGCGCCGCAGCCTTCTCAGAGCGCTCCGGAACGCTCTGGAACGGATTTATTCTCCTCCTGGCCTCGTCCAGAGCAGTCTGCCAAACCTCCGAGGGTCCGCGTGTATAGGTCCAGCGCCAGGAGAGTCGAACGTTCTGTGCCCACTCTGTGCTTGGTCTTCTTCGGCTCCAGGCTTGGCTCCCAGCAGGCTTTGCCCTCCGGGTGACAGGCGCCCTGTTGCCAGGCCCGAGGATGGGCAGGGCACGCCGGCATCGAGCCGACACGCCGGATCCGATCGGAACCGGAACGGGCGGCGGGTCGGGTGGACCGGCACGGGGTCGGCTCGGAGCGGCCGCGCCGAGAGGCACAACAGCGCCGTGCAGGCATCGAGAGGCGCATCGGCCGTCAGCGCAGCGGCGGCCCGACCACAAGAAGCCTTCCACCAGAAACCCGACCCTGAGACCCCAGGACGTCCACTGATTCTTGGTGCGGGAACGCTGCGCTCTCCATCGCTGAAGAGCATCGGAATCCAAGAAACCCGGGGCACCCCGGAGGCCAGCGGGGTGCTTCTTGGCATGGGTCTCCACTGCATAGATACAGGACCGACATCGGGCCGGGCCAGCCGCGGGAGCGAGGTCCCTGGTGTTGAGGCCCGCGACGCAGCTCTTGGCCGTGAGCGCGTAGGCGGTCGCGCCCTGCGGCAGCGGAATGGGTGGGAAGCGAAGCGGCGGCCACCGCCAGTCGCCCACTCCTCTGCCTCCTCCTCCTGCTCCGCCTCCTCCTCCGCCTCGTCCTCCTCCGCCTCGTCCTCCTCCTCCTCCTCCTCCTCCTCCTCCTCCTCCTCCTCCTCAGTCGCCCGCCAAGGAGAGCACTGGAGCGGCGCTTCCTATGTAGCCATCGAGCGCCAGGCAAGGAGCAGCAGGCCTCGGCCACGGATGCGTCCCCTGAGCTGCGGCAGGACCTGGGACAGAAGAAGTGAGGAGCAACGATGGGGGGGGGACTGGCATAGGGGGGCATGCATCGACCTGGAATCGGCGATACATCGCCGATAGATCGGCGATAGGTTGGGCAGGTTGGGGCTCTCGGGCCCCTATCGGAGACCAATCGGCGATCAGGGTCGGTGCACCCCCCCTATGCCTGCCCCCCCCCCCCCCTATCGTTGCCTCTGAAGAACATCCTTCAAGAGCATGAGACCCTCCGCGGGTCCAAATACACAGAACATCTAGGGGTACCCTCACCGAACAAATAATATCCCACAACCGCGACAAACACTAGGGTGCCCTCCCCGAACCCACCTCAATCATGTACCTGGGTCCGACCGTACAGCGATCGTGCTAGCATGAGGCGCATGCCTGGCCACGCTATGCCTCGGCCACGAACCTGCTCCCCACGACCCAAATCTCGGGAACGGCCCGACAGCCAGAGCCTGGCTTGAGCATGAGCCATCGTGGAGTCCTCTCGGGCCGTCTTTGGGGCCCCTTGGGCTGTCTTGGGGGCCCTTGGGGAGGCATCCTGGGCCGTCCTGAGTGTGGCCCCTCAACTGTGTCGGTCCTGGCCCGAGGGAAGCGGATCCCGCTCCCTGGAGCCTTCCCTCCACGTGGCTGACTTGTTGCCTGATCCCGAGCTGCTTCCTGAGGGCCCACGTGGGCCTGGGCAGGGCCCCCCGGAAGGCCGAAGACGGCGTGGACAGCTCGTGCCCCCCCCCCCCCCCCCTCCTCGAGGACTCCCTCTCTGCTCCGTGACTACTTCTTGCTCGATTCGGGCACGTTCTTCTGGCAACGCCCAGGGGGCCCACCACTATGGGGGTGTCGCCGCCACCTTCTCTCGGAGGGCGCCCCCTTCAGCCGCCCTGAAAGTCCCCCCAGAGCCTCACCCAAGCGCTCAAGATCGTCGACCATGTGCTCGACCCTTCTTTCTCGAACCTCGATCCTCAGGAGGAGCCGGCGACCCCTGTGGGGAAGCAGAGAGCCGCCGGTACCGCGTGAACCCGTCCGTGGCGACGCGAGAAGGGTTCCATGGCGGGCTTGTTTTCCACCACCACCACCATAAGTTGGA